AAAATTCCCAAATCCCCCTGGAGCTGCTCCCCCAAAATTCCCAAATCCTCTGGAGCTGTTCCCCCAAATCCTCTGGAGCTGTTCCCCCAAAATTCCCAAACCCCCTGGAGTTGCTCCCCAAATCCCAGCCTTCATCCCAGCCCTGGAACTCCCAGTTCCACCCCAGTTCCTTCCCAGTTCCCTCCCAGTTCTCTCCCAGTTCCAATCTCAGTTCCCTCCCAGTTCTATCCCAGTTCTATCCCAGTTCTTTCCCACTCCCACCCCAGTTCCCTCCCAGTTCTCTCCCAGTTCCAATCTCAGTTCTAATCCCAGTCCTATCCCAGTTCCCTCCCAGTTCTCTCCCAGTCCTATCCCAGTTCTCTCCCAGTCCTATCCCAGTTCTCTCCCAGTTCCCTCCCAGTTCCCTCCCAGTCCTATCCCAGTTCCCATCCCAGTTCCCTCCCAGTTCCCTCCCAGTCCTATCCCAGTTCCCTCCCAGTTCCCTCCCAGTTCTCTCCCAGTTCCCTCCCAGTCCTATCCCAGTTCCCTCCCAGTTCCCTCCCAGTTCCCTCCCAGTTCTCTCCCAGTCCTATCCCAGTTCCCTCCCAGTTCTCTCCCAGTTCCCTCCCAGTTCTCTCCCAGTTCTATCCCAGTTCTCTCCCAGTCCTATCCCAGTTCCCTCCCAGTTCTCTCCCAGTTCCCTCCCAGTTCTCTCCCAGTTCCCTCCCAGTTCCCTCCCAGTTCCCTCCCAGTTCCCTCCCAGTTCCCCCTCTCATTTCGGGGCTGCCCCACCAGCCCGGGTGGGAATTCCCAGCCCAAAGCAGATTTTTGGGGATTTAAATCCCTCAGGAATTCGGCTCCTGCAGCTCCTCCTGCCCTCACAGGCGCTGCTCACTGATTATTTTGGGGTTTTTTTGGCCAAAAACAATTCCTGAATTCTGCTGCAAATCCTGTTCTGCAGCCAAGGAGAGGAACATCAGCAAAAATCAGAATTAAACCCACACCAGAACCAAACAAACCAGCACAAGCAGTTGTTAAACCAGAATTTAAAGGGCTGGGTTTTCC